TGCGTTCGATCGCAACGGATGGTTTCGGAATTCTACCAAATCCACGCGAATTTTTGGCCACCAGTATTGGCGGAGCACGGAGAGAAGACGAAATCACACAAGCTGTCTGCTAGCTGCATCTCGGTTCTACTGTATATTGATAATATTATAGTTGCGTCTGTTTTATTTAACCAGTACAGAGCGGGACGACAAAATTCTGTAGATTCATCTATTTTGCTCACATTGATCAATCTACGGAGGCGAAGATAACATAACTGCCCGGTTTTCCTTTGGAAAAGACCGGCCGGTGGCTTGTGATCCACAGGTCTCCGGTTCAAGTCGGATAGAATAGGAGTGGGTTAGAGTTACCCCTAGCCCTCACACGACTGCTGATGAGTTTATTGCAAGGAAGCGCTGGTACAACCAGTCGGAGTACTACTTATGTCTCTAACTGTTATTACTAGAGTTTCCGCAGAGGCATTTCCCCACAGTGGCGGTGCAGGGAAGAGAGACGTTTGCTTCAACTGATGATGACTCCATATGGTTGGCGGCATCGGATTCCGGGTTTGCTAGTCACTGCGACCTCCATAGGACAGTCGCAGGATGCCTGCGCCTACAGAGAGACCATGGGTGCACCACTCACATCTTCCTTCACACACACACCATATTCACTGCAAACCCGAAGGAATAAGACCGGGAGGCATGTGAATGGGAGCAACGTTTCATCAGTGGATATGACCCACACTCCTTCAAAATGCATAAAGCATGCGTGCTCAATATATCCGCTATAACACACAAGATGGCAGAAAAAGTGCTCAAAAATGTATGCAACACATGCGAATAAAATCAACGAAATTAACACTTTTCGTTTAACCGACGTGTGTAAACAAATAGGGGATTATACAGGTAGACATTAGCTTGAGGTAACAAAGTGGTAACAAAATAAAGCACACCGATCGTCTGAAATAAAGCAACTAAGCACACCAGCACGCAGTTAATAAAGCCAACACAGCGTACCTACCAACGCTGCGTCGGTTCTGCTTACGTTCTAAGCAGCACCCGACGACTTTTCGTTAGGGATCCCAAGCGATCTCGCTCGTGGTTGACTAGGCCTGTCTGAATCATGCGCTCGCGACCGCATGTGCTATAGCACCATGCGCTCGACATCGATGGGGTACACCCCATCGACGTCTTTCGCTTCCGCACTGCCGCTTCTCCTCTACATGCACGAGGGCTTTCTCGTGCACCTCGGCAGCTGCGTTCATGATCAGATCGCGCCAAACACACCGATCAACCGCCTTCGATTCCCAACATTGTAAAGCACATTAAAAATGTGGCTCACTGTAAATTCTAACTTCTCGATTCTGAACTATACTACTGCACATTTACAAGTAGTTCAATTTCTTTATATATTTTTCCCGTTGGACGGTGTGGTACTCGAGTTTACCTGTTCATGCACAAATGTTCGGCTTTAACAAACTGATAAAACCCTGCAATTTTTCTGATTTAGTATCTTTAGCGTATAAGTTATGAGCACACTCCTTCAAAATGCATAAAGCATGCGTGCTCAATATATCCGCTATAACACACAAGATGGCAGAAAAAGTGCTCAAAAATGTATGCAACACATGCGAATAAAATCAACGAAATTAACACTTTTCGTCTAACCGACGTGTGTAAACAAATAGGGGATTATACAGGTAGACATTAGCTTGAGGTAACAAAGTGGTAACAAAATAAAGCACACCGATCGTCTGAAATAAAGCAACTAAGCACACCAGCACGCAGTAAATAAAGCCAACACAGCGTACCTAGAACGCTGCGTCGGTTCTGCTTACGTTCTAAGCAGCACCCGACGACTTTTCGTTAGGGATCCCAAGCGATCTCGCTCGTGGTTGACTAGGCCTGTCTGAATCATGCGCTCGCGACCGCATGTGCCATAGCACCACGCGCTCGACAACGATGGGGTACACCCCATCGACGTCTTTCGTTTCCGCACTGCCGCTTCTCCTCTACATGCACCAGGGCTTTCTCGTGCACCTCGGCAGCTGCGTTCATGATCAGATCGCGCTAAACACACCGATCAACCTCCATGGATTCCCAACATTGTAAAGCACATTAAAAATGTTAGGCTCACTGTAAATTCTCACTTCTCGATTCTGAACTATACTACTGCACATTTACAAGTAGTTCAATTTCTTTATATATTTTTCCCGTTGGACGGTGTGGTACTCGAGTTTACCTGTTCATGCACAAATGTTCGGCTTTAACAAACTGATAAAACCCTGCAATTTTTCTGCATTTATTATCTTTTTTTTCTTTGCTTAATTGTTGTGAACTTACGGTTTGCGTCTCATCGGTTGTAATTTGTTTTACTGTGTCAATTTTACGGACTATTCGCCATTTGCGCAGACTTAACTACTGACGTGGAATAATTACTGCCCGAATTAGCGAGTCGCATTACCTATTCGTGAGTTAATTGTATTCTTTTTTTGTTTATTACTGCTATTGTAGAACCACGGTTATTCAGTATACTCATTCCGCCCACTGCCCTGCATTTTAACTACCCAGACCGTGCGTTAGTTAGGTGACACGATTAGCCTCATACTCTCTGCCGTAACACAAGTTGAATAGTGAACTCGCGCTCCGATGAACGAATCAAGGAGGCATTCTTTGTCAGAGCATTCACAGCACAGCGAGGACAACGTAGCTATGACAACGTCTGATCAGCTCTCTGTTGCAATGCGTAGAATTGCGGAACTAGAAAGTCGTCTGAAAGCTTTAAGCTTTAGTGATGCAAATAAGGTACGTGCTGAAGCAGTTATGCTGGACGATAAATCGACGCTTGTTCTGCCTGAGTTATCTGGATTTCCCGTGTCTAATAATTATGCTGAAGGCCTCACGGAAAGAGATGGGGGGGGGGACGTAGATGGTTGGTGTTGTCGGGTACGGCGCGGCATTCCGCCCAGTCTTCACAAGTTCGAATCCCGCCGCCTGAATTCAACGAATTGGTTCCATCTGCGCCGGATGCTATCGCAGGTCTACCAAAAAGGGAAATTGTACGTTTCGACGGGGATCCGATGAAATATTGGTTGTTGGTACGAAGTTTTCAAGCCAATGTTATGAGTATTACTTCTAGCCCTTGTGTGAAACTTTCATATCTGATTACTTACTGTGAAGGCCAGGCGCGAGAGGCTATTGAGAGTTGTGTTATATTGGATCCGGAAGGGGGTTTTCTTAATGCCATGGAGACGCTCAAATTGAGGTTCGGCTGCCCTCACTTGATTGCCAGAGCTTACATCGAAAGTCTACTCAAAGGACCATCGATCAAGGCGAATGATTCGGAAGCGCTCCACAGATTAGCCGGGCAGATGAAAACTTGCTTAAATACGCTGCAACAACTAAATTACGAGGCCGATCTGAACGTGACTGTGACGGTGTCGGCGGTGATTAGGCGACTGCCTTACTCACTTCAGCTCGATTGGTCAAAGAAAGCTACCAGTATCCTCCGCACTTGTAGAGAGCCCGCCTTTAAAGACCTGTACCAGTTTGTTTGTGACGTGGCTGAGACTGTTACCACTCAGGCTATGTACTCGAATGAAATCATTAGAAGGACCGAAGGACCCTACACGGCAGAAAGACCTCAAAGCCGTGGCAATCGCATAACCACCTTGGCAACCGGAGGAACCGTGCCGCAGACTCAGAGACGCGCCCTCGTGTGTCGCGTGCACAGAGCACCATTACCTTGATCAGTGTCCTCGATTCCAAGCCTTTGGCCATTCCGAACGCTTGCTGCTCGTTTCTGGAAAGAGTCTATGTGAACTGTGCCTCAAAGCTAACCACACGTCTGAGCTTTGCAGATCCCGAGTCACGTGCGGATTCGACGGTTGCCAGTTGAAACATCATCCTTTACTATACGAAGCCAAGACAAACCAACTAACTTCACCAAGAGCTGTGGTAAACGAAACGAATGTGTCGTGGGGTCGAATAGCTTTAGGGATTATTCCAATTCTGCTGCGTGAAAAAACCAAGTCACTGATGACCAATGCTTTACTTGACCCAGGATCTGATTCGTCACTTGTCGATGAACAGCTGTTGCAAAGGCTTGACTTACCAGCCCGACCGTCAGTGGTACAAATAGCAACGGTTAACGGTGATTCAACGATGTGCTCGCAAGTTGTACGCCTGGAGTTGCAACCGCTGGAAGGAGGTAAATCACTGCATGTGGATCATGCGTGGGCCGTCAAAAGGATGCCTAAGGTACAGAGGATAATACCGGAGCCAGAACGCCTGCGCAGTTGGGAACACTTAAAGGACCTACCGTTTATCGATGGTTGTGATGAAGGAGTCGGAGTGCTTATTGGTATGAATGTCCCGGAAGCCCACTGGGTGCTTGAGCATCGGTATGGAAAACCGTCAGACCCCTTTGCCATACGAACACCGTTAGGTTGGATCCTGCTCGGTCCAGTGGGGGGGGGGGGAAATGCGTAACGAACATTTACACCCACTCAATCAGTGTAGAAGACTCTACTTCGAGCTTTCTTGAAAGGATGTATGAGTTGGAATTCACTGAGCCATGTAGCTCAAGACGCGGAATGTCTGTTGAGGATAAACGCGCATTAGAGCAGATGGAGTCATCTATCGTTTAATGTGGTTCACATTATCAACTCAATTTACCATGGAAAAGCGCATGCCCAAATTTGCAAAACAACTATCCTGTCGCTTACCGAAGACTGATGTCATTGCGCAAAAGGCTCGTTGCCAACCCAGAATTACATCAGATGTACACAGCTGCCGTTGAAGAGTACGCGTCGAGTGGATTTGTGAAAATGATTGACCTAGGACCGCTTGGTGATAAAAAAGGCGTTTGGTATATGCCACATCACGATGTGACGCACCCCAACAAGCCCGGGAAAGTCCGTGTCGTTTTCGACCGTGCTCATCACTCTCCCCTTGTCTCACACACTCTGCCACGAGGCGTCAAGCACGTCAAATCTTCTAGAAAGCCATATGAGCAGCCTATGAGTCATCCTCGTCGATTTAGCTTCGCTGGCGCGATACCGGATAAAAACTTACGCACCCAACCTTCACGTGTGCCTTTAAAGCATCCATCGGTTACTCGCGCTTGTATGATGACAGAAGAAGTTTTACAGCAGTCATCGCCGAAATCTAAGGGGGTGTCCTTTGGTCCCGCTTTAAGCCCCGAACAGTTCGATGAAGGTTTACCACCTTCTACCCCATTAAAGAAAGGTGGTATCCCTGTTACTATTTTGACGACTCCGAAGTTTGCGTCAAACACTAAACCTACCCAAGCTTCCGATTCCGAGTCTTATGTACTTCTTAATGCACTCTCCGACGTCCGCTCAGTCAGTCCACCCGTGGCTGCAGCAGGCACCCCCGTAGAATATCGGCAGTTGTTTCTGTGCCTCCGACACCGGATTCAAATCTACTTGATTCATCTGTTGAATCCCCAACACCCTGTTCATCTCCAGTGCAGAAAGTCACTGGTCGTCATTCGGCCCCGATTCTTGCAACAACTTCGGTGCATTCATCCAAGAAAAATTTCATGACTCGAAGTTCCTTCATGTCTAGGTCGGCAGACAACAGACGACTTACTCGTCTACAAGTACCAAAAGCCCCACCTTCTACACCTGCATCTACCGTTCGCCGAATCAGTAGGACAGATGAGAAAATAGTCAGCACGGTTTCTAATACCTCTAGACGATCAAACACTACTGCCCGGACGCCGAGTTCCATAACCACGAACAGCCATCTGGCATTCCCCTACACACAACTATCCATCCTCAGAAACCCCTCTATCGATAAACAAAGCAGAAAATGAGTGCGCAATTACAGCCAACGTCACGATACCGCTCACAAATACACCGGAACTTCCTCAACGAACCGCTAGCCTTTCTAAATCGCCCTCTGTTCCGAGTACGCGCCTCCCTGCTGTCCCATCTATGTTCGGTGTAGGTGATGTAGCTGTGAGTCCGCGACGAAGTGCTGGTCGTCCGAGGTCGTCATCTGTTCCTTCAAGTCAATCTGTTTCGAATAAGGATACTCCATCGAGCGTCCAGCGTGTGAAAGCGAAGAGCCACCCCGATGAGTTCGGTGCTATATCGCCCAGCCAATTATTGACCTTCACAGCAGACAGGGCACTGGACCCAGAGCAGGCACGAATTCCCCACAGGCTGACGAGACAATGGCGCCAAGTGCAGCAGCTGTCCGATGAATTTTGGAAAAGGTGGTTAACTTGTTATTTGCCGATTTTGCAGTTTCGCCAAAAGTGGCACACAAAGAGGCGCAGTTTACGGAGAGGTGATCGTGTTCTAATCGCCGATGTACGCACGCCAAGAGGTCTGTGGCCAAAGGCCATAATAGAAGAAGCGAAGGCTGGGCGCGATGGACTGGTCCGGGAAGTTCTGATACGTACAAACAAAGGAACATTACGGAGAGACGTACGACAAGTGTGTCTATTAGAGGAGACTTTGGACGAAGAATTCAGCGAGGCCAAAGACGCTGGATAAGTGTGAATTCTAAATTCTTGATTCTGAACTATACTACTGCACATTTACAAGTAGTTCAATTTCTTTATATATTTTTCCCGTTGGACGGTGTGGTACTCGAGTTTACCTGTTCATGCACAAATGTTCGGCTTTAACAAACTGATAAAACCCTGCAATTTTTCTGCATTTATTATCTTTTTTTCTTTGCTTAATTGTTGTGGACTTACGGTTTGCGTCTCATCGGTTGTAATTTGTTTTACTGTGCCAATTTTACGGACTATTCGCCATTTGCGCAGACTTAACTGCTGACGTGGAATAATTACTGCCCGAATTAGCGAGTCGCATTACCTATTCGTGAGTTAATTGTCTTCTTTTTTTGTTTATTACTGCTATTGTAGAACCACGGTTATTCAGTATACTCATTCCGCCCACTGCCCTGCATTTTAACTACCCAGACCGTGCGTTAGTTAGGTGACACGATTAGCCTCATACTCTCTGCCGTAACACTCACATTAGTCATATCCTGGTAACAATGCTTCAGTTTTTCCACACGCCGCTTCCCCACACTCAGCTGACAATATGACAGCTGCTTCGGTACCCGCGTCGAATGCGTACGCCACATATGACCGAGTCACCTTAAGTGTCTCAGCAAAAGTATGCAGTCCACTGCATACACTTCCGTGTCAGCAACTCTGCCGCACCAACCGATGTGCAGAAGCCCTAGCAGACACTGTTGATGAATCCGCTCGAAATATCCCACATCCAGCCGGTACTTCGGCCACGTTTCTCTGTCGTATAGAAGAACGGACAGCACCATGGATTTGTACACCAACAACTTCGTGGCGACGGTAAGATGATGGTTGTTCCACACTCGGTACTCAAGCTTCCCGAATGCCGCCAGTATCTTCGACACGCGGATACGCAGCTCACTATGTATCTGCTGATCAGTCGACATCATACTCCCAAGGTAGTAGAAGCGGGAGGTGGTTTTCAGTACTTCAGCACCAATGCTGATTCGCGGCAATATTGAAGATTGCACATCCGGTGAAGGCTGAAAGAGACAGACAGTTTCGCTTGTGTTGATGATCAGCCCGAATTTGGTCGCTGTCGAAGCCAAACGCTAGTCATGTGCTGCAACGTATCTGCACTGTGTACAAACAACGCACATTCGTCAGCAAACAACAAAATACGGATAGTTGTCTCACAGACTAGTTCTCGCATCGAAAAGATGGACGTTCAGCAACTCACCATCAATACGGTGCTTCACACGAACACCGTAAGCACAAGCGGCATCAAAAGCACAAGACATCAATTCATGAATGTATATATTAAACAGGGCAGGAGCTAAGACACAGCCTTGCTTCACACCAGAGACAACTGCAAAATCATCCGAGGTCTCTCCACTCAGCTGCACCCTTGCCGCATACCACTGTGCAGAGATGCAATTAAATTTACAAACTTACGCGGGCAACTAAACTTACCCAACAGCAGCCACAATGCCACGAGGTTCACCGTATCAAATGCTTTGGTGCAATCAACAAGCAGCAAATACAACGGCTTGTATCGTTCTCTGAAGTTTTCCTGCAACTAATGAGCTGCAAACACCATATCTATAGTGCTGCGACCCGAACGGAATTCACATTGCTCTTCCGCCTCGTTCGGTTCCACAACCTGACTGACGAGGCGGTTAAGCAGGATTCGGGAAACCGCCTTGTTTACAAAACTCAGCAAGCTGATATCACGATGATTCGTGGCACAAGGCTTGCTTCGTTTGACCTTGTACATTGGTAGCACAAGCGCGTCCTTCAATTAGAAGGCACCTCCTCTTCAAACCACATGCGTTGCACCAACTGATGAAACACAATCACTAACGCCGTTTCGTCGTGTTCCAATACTTCAGGCGTAATCCTGCCTGCTCCAGCACACTTGACGTTTCCCAGCTGAGCAAATGCCCTCTACATCTCATCCGGACTCACCTTCACCTGGTGCTGCTTGAGGCCGTTCAGTGTAGGCCATTCAGTCTCTGGACGGTGGTTCAAATCACTGACAAAGTGATTTCCCCATATATATATATATATATATATATATATATATATATATTCTTGCCCTATGCTGAGGCTGATGTTGCATTCATGATGCTTCTTCGCCGCAGTTGGGCTAAACCAACTTACACTTAAACCAGGCTTTTTTAAGCTGGACAAAATTCATTCCACTTTATTAGGTTTGTTTTGCCTACCTGAATAATCTCCTAACTTGCACACGTTTCTTACGCAAATTGTACGTGTATTTGATAACTTTCTTGCGTTTGTAGCATTTTTTGAATTGCTCGTTAACATCTTGTACTTATCGAGGAATGGTCGCTAACCAACTTACTTCATATGGTAATTTAGCAAATAGTTATGTTACCGTATCTGTATACATTATTAGATTTATTTTATTTGGTACGTCGTTTCAAGTGATTGGTTGTTGCTTGGTATCCTCGGTGTGGCTGCGCTTAATGTGCATGTTGACAAGGTGCCTACCTGTTTATTACCCACTACCTCTTCCATACTGGGTCCAGGAGACAGTTGGTCGTTGCTGGAGGGGACGGGGTGCATGGTCCTTTTAGTCGTGCTAGGCTCGAAACTTGGTTCCATGCACTCAGTGTGGAGCGGACTACGGTCCAGCCACCGCCTTGTGTGCGGCTGATTTCCCAAATACGGCGTGCTTGTAATTGCCTGTGGAGGAGTGTGGGCCGGCTCCATTGATGAAACGTGGCTCCCATCCACATGCCTCCCTGTCTTATTCCTTCGGGTTTACACTGGATATGGGGTGTGTGGATGGAGCTGTGGATGGTTCAGCGTAATCGACCCATGGTCCCTCTGTAGGCGCAGGATGTGTTTGTCCTGTGGAAGCCAGTGGCAGGCGACTCCGGAACCGGATGCTGCCAACATTAGGATCAACAGACTATGCAATAAACATTGATTTATTGATAAACCATGAAATGAATGTGCACAATAAGTACAAAGACCAGAAAATGGAAAATACGCATAGAAATATTTGTTTTTCACACACTGGTTTGTCTATTTTGGTCAGTCCAGTGATTACCTTGTTGATCAGCAGATTCAATGCATAAACTTATGCAATCGGTTCGTTGTCGGCGATTACGCGCCATATCCTCCAAAGTCTGCAATCAACGGTGTTCTTCATCTCCGATTCCGCAGCCCGGAGCTGTACAGAACAAACAACAGCTGGACTGGAAGTCAGCGCCTTGAAGTTTTGTCGCCACCGTGCGAATTCTTTCAGTGTGTCCCTTCGCGGGCAAATAGACTGCGCCTTGGTAAACACTTGCACGGTATGCGTAGGATGTAACTTAGTCTCCCCAGTTACTTTGCTTGTCGAGGGGGGGCAGTAATACCCAGGAGGAGGACCGTCAGTACAAACAAGGTCTTCCTAACACACTTGGACTCTCCTCCACAGACAACCGTTGTCAAATGCCGAAAGCGGACGCAAATTGCTTACACAAGTCGGCCAGCACTCAGTTCCGTACAACAGGACCGCGTGAATGCAGGAATTGTAGGCTCCGCCCTTTACGGTGAGTGCAACTTCACGACGAGGCCACAGATGCCACAGATGCACGAAAGCTGATCGCACTTTGGCTATGCAGAGGGAAGTCTCTATTCGGATGTTGCCACCGGAAAAATCGCAGCTCCCAAGGTAGATGAGGCCACCTAATTTTTCAAGCTGCGCTCCTTCAAGAATCAGCACGTGGGCCATTGGAATCCAATCCCGAAGCAGTGCTTTTTATTCGACGGAGTGACGGTCATGTTATACTTGGTAGCCCCAATCACCAAGGCGTTTAAAACGGCCTGCATGATCTGCGGGTTGTCAGAACAGTCCAAGTCAGTCGCGTGGTTGCCTGGAGGGAGCTTTACGCCAGAGCCCTGGAGACATTCCAGAGCGCTTAATCGAAAGTCCTCAATCGCAAAGATGTATGGTAACGGGTACACGGGGCATCCCTGTCGCACACCTCTAGCGAAGGCGAGGAGTGAAGAGAGCTTGCCAGAAGCCCTTATTCTAAC